CGTCGACGGCGTCGCGGAGCACTCCAGCAGGATGCTCGAACACCTTGACGCGCCCCGCCACTGAAGAATACCGCATTAACGATATCCATGTGGCCACGTTTGCCCCAGACAACAAGCGCAAGATCATGCGAGTCTGGGCCGAAGAGCTCCTCACTTCTTTCCGCGCTTTCCTTTGCCTTTCTTGCCATAGCCTTTGCCTTTCCCACCTTTTGGCTTGCCTTTGCCCTTCCCCCTGCCCGCGCCCTGTGGTTTGGGCGGCGTGCTGCGGGAAGCTGTCTGTTGCTTCCCCCGGGCTCCCCCGGGGGGTCCGCCGTTTTTTGCCAAGGCTTCGACGAACTTGGCTGTGTGTTCGTGGCCGGCGGTTGCACCGCCTGTCCCGGGAAGGTCTTCCACGACCATCGAGTCCTGGGCCGCCATTGCCTTCTGAACTGCAGCCTCCGCGATGTGTTCCACAGCGTTCTGGAAGAGGGACTCCGGCTTGGTCTGCAAAAGTTGCTGCTCCTTCTGCTCTTCGGCTCGCCGGTGTTTTTCGAGCGCGTCCCGCTTGCTGGCTTCAGTTTTCTCCACTTTCAGCACGGCCCGGCGGTAGAGCTCCTCCACCTTCTCGGCCCGCATCTCAGGGCTGACCTGCTTCATGAGGGGCTCCTCCAGGCCTAAATCTGAAGCTTGAGACGAACAGGCTTTGTCCATGATGTCTTCGCACGTCTTGGCAAAGACGCTCTTCTTGGACATTTCTGCTGCGTTAGCGGAGGAAGACTCCAGAGCCTCCACGTCGATGGCCCTCAACTCATGAGCGACCCATCTGTGCAAGGCAGCTTTAGCTTCTCTGCGGGTGGACCCCTTGGGAATCGTACATAACTGACCGGACGGCAACGCAACAGACACGTCCGTCGATGCAGCTGTGCTCCAAGGAGCGTCCAATTCCACGTGGTGGGCTGGGCTTTTGAATGGCCTCATCCCGTTGGGGTAAGACCCTTGAGCGAGAAGCTTGACGTCTTCAACTGCCTTTGCATGCATTGCCTTCGCCTTCACTGATTTACCCAAATTCTGCTCGAAATCGTACGTCACCTTATCCAAACTCTTGTTCAAAGAAGCTGGGAAACTCTTGAAGAATGTATTACTGCCAACGTTGCCCTGTGCTGCCTCTGGCGTGGCGGTGCCTCCAGTTGCACCTCCCACATCCCGATGAGAAGCAACTTGCAGAATGGCCTGCTGGAGGGCCTGGAAGTTCTGCTGATTTTGCTCGTTCATGGTGTGGAATGCTGCGATGAAAGCTTCGTTCTGCCTCGTCTGGGCCGCCACCTGCTCCCGGAACGTCTCGAGAATGGTCTGGACGGACTCCGGGGGGGGCGGCGGCGGCCGCGGTGGTTGCCGCGGCGACTGGCCAGCGGCCGCTTCCAGGGCAAGTCGCGGAGCTCCGCCGCCGAAGGAGGCGGCACCGGCCGCATTTTGTGGAGGGCACCTCCCCCGATCCATGGATTTGGCGACGGCGCGCCAAGTCCATGGATCGCTAATCCATGTTTGCGCGCCCCCGGGATCAAGGCAGGGCTCGAGCCAAACGGTGCTGTTGGCGATCTCGTGGGCCGTGTTTTCGTTCCGAGGTCGTTTCGCGGCACAGGCGGAGCGGAGGCAGGGCGAGGGAGACCGAAAGCAAGACGAGGACGAGAAGCACCGTTCATGGCTCGAGCCCTGGATCAAGGAAGCCGCAGGCGTGGAGGAAGGCGCAGGTGTCAGCGACGGGTCCCGTTCCCACAACAGATCGACGCGCTCCGTCGCCGCATCGGGCGGCACTGGCGCCGTCTGTCGGGGGGCACCTTCCCCGATCCGTGGATCTGGCGCTCGCGCGCAGGATCCATGGATCCGCAAGCCATGTTGGCTTGCGCCCGAGACGGGGAGGAGGGGGAGGGTGAGATCAGCGCCGAGGAGGCGCCAAGCGAGTCTCAGAGGAGGGCGAGTTGAGGTAGTTGGCCTTCGGTGGCCCCCCCTCGTCGGCACGGCTGGACGCAGCTCGGAGAGCTGGTTCGTTTGGACGCGGGGAGGGGTCCGGGGACAGATTCGAGCTGCCGTTGTCTCAACTCGCCGTGCTCCGAGAGAGCGGAGAGGTGGTCGAGCAAGCGCAAACACGCATCAAGGCGTATGGCTTTGCGACGGCCAGTTTCTTCATGGAGTCGGCGCGATCCGTCGCGGCCATGGGGCGGCCATGGATTCACGTTTCGGGCGCCAGATCCACGGCTCCGCAGCCCACGTCAGCGTGCCCGAGGGGAGGTGGAGGCGGAGGGGGAGGAGGACGATGGCCAGAGTCAGCCCACGATGCATCAACGATGCTGCGATGCGCCCACCCGTCCCAAGCCCCTGCTCACACACCGCTGCGTCGTCATCTTCCGTGCGAGCAAAATTTCTTGGGTGGGGACGCCTTTGCAGGCGACTTGCCCAGCGCTGCCTTGACAGCGTCACGACGAGCCTGCACACGATGCAGCACTCCTGTTTCGGCATCTGTTCCTGTCTTTCCGGCCTGAGGCCCACGCAACAGCCTCGAGAACTCCCGGCGGGCGGTGCCCCCCCCCCCCCCCGAAAGGCCAGCGCCCGCGAGTCGGGCGACCGCCCCGTTCCATACCCGAGCTGCCGACCATGGTGCTGGCTAGAATTGTGTTGCTCACATCTTACTGGCGGACCAAATTATCCACTAAAGAATTTCGAGCACCCAGAGAAGTAGCGAAACAGAGTGTCGAACGAGTATCGCCTCCCAGGGCCCGGCACGTGAAAACCCCCAAGTTTTGGTAATTTCTCGGCGCTCATTTTTCCTGGTAATCAAGGCTGAAGTAGGTTTAAGCATCATAAGGCTAGAGTGTAATCGTCTTCTTATTCATTCTTTTGCCGATCGGCGCGGGCCCTCGCACCCCCCCCCCACCTCATGGAGCAGATCTTGGCTGTTTCTGGCGCCTGTTTCTCGCAGGTGGGGTCTCCCCCACAGGGCGCAATGTTGCAATCATTCGCCTTGAGCGGAGGTCTGGAGCCAGACCCCCCCCCTCCCCTCCCCCTTCCGCCCACTGTCGAATCGCCGGATAAGAACACGTTCACAAGGACGGCCAGGAGCTTCTCTTGGTCCGCGGATCACCCTTTGGGAGGAGGAGGAGGAGGAGGAGGAGGAGGAGAAGGAGGAGGAGGAGGAAAGGAAGAGGAGTAAGGATTAGGATAGAGTTGGATGAGAGGAAGGGTAGGAGGAGGAGGAGGAGGAGGAGGAGGTAGGAGAGGAGGAGGAGGAGGAGGAGGAGGAGGAGGAGGAGGAGGAAGAGGAGGATAACCTCACCGCTCGTGCGACCCGGCAGCCGGCGGCGCGCCGACGGGGGAGGTCCGAGGGGGCAGGCCGCCACAGAGGGCGGCGGGGCTCGTCGGAAGCCCTCGGGCCTCCTGAGGAGCCCCGGTGTCTTCGGGAGGGCCTCGAGCGCTGCTCAGAAGCCCGGGGGCCTTCCGAGCCGCCTGAGAAGGCCCACCCCCCGCCCCTACCCTGGCACGCGGAACGCACTAGGGGCGGCGCCAGAGGGGGCCTAGACGCTGATCCAAGGCACCCTTTGCCTTCCCCCCCCCTTGGCCTCCCTTGCCTCGAAGAGCAAAACATGCCATAAACATTAAAAAACTTTTGGCGCTCCGCGCGGATTTCTTGGATCCGCACTTGGATATCTTGGATCCGCGCTGGGGCCCCCTAGCGGCGCCTCTGGCGCCGCCCCTGGCGCGCTCCGCGCGCCAGGGAGGGGGTCCCAGCGCAGATCCGAGAAATCCGCGCGGACCGCCAACAGTTTATGTTTATGCTGTTTTCTCTTCTTCTGCTGCCTTTGCTCCGCTTTCCTCTGAGAGAGCCGACGTCGCAACAAGCAAACATGCGACAGCGTGGAGAAGCACGTCAGGAGCCCTTGGCCTGAAGTCGGGCCTGTCCTTCTAATTACAGGAGGAATATTCAAGAATAGTCAAAAAATAGCCAGGGGACGACTTTTCGACTACTTGTGAGCATTTCTAGAATATTTGCAGAGTTCTTACATTTTCCGCCGTTAGGGGAACATGCCCGACCGAACCTTGGCCCCAGCTTCCTGCAGCATGTCCTGAGTCGGATCGATCCGCGAAGGCCCCGAGGCCAGAACCAAGGCCAGCGCGCCTGGTGCGGAAGAAACGCGAGGCCAGGATCCTCCTCCTCCTCCTCCTCCTCCTCCTCCTCCTCCGCCACCTCCTCCGCCACCTCCTCCTCCTCCTCCGCCTCCTCCTCCGCCTCCGCCTCCGCCTCCGCCTCCTCCTCCTCCTCCTCCTCGTCCTTATATTGGTGGTCGTTCGTTCGCTTATGGTCGGGGCAGACCGAACGCAGACGTGCCCTCGCGTCTTTCCTGCCCTCGGTCCCCGTGAGGCCGGGACATCCTGGCCTTCTGCGCGCGTCGACAGCAGGTGGGGGGTTATGCATGCGCCCCGCGCGCGAATCTGGCCGCGCATTCTTCTGGCTGCCTCTTCCTCCTCCTCCTCCTCCTCCTCCTCCTCCTCCTCCTCTCTCCTCCTCCCCTCCTCCCCCTCCTCCCCCTCCTCCCCCTCCTCCCCTCCTCCTCCTCCTCCGCCTCCTCCCTCATCCTCCCCTCCTCCTCCTCCCCCCTCCACCTTTATCCTCCTCCTCCTCCTCCTCCTCCTTCTCCTCCCTCCTCCCTCCTCCCTCCTCCCTCCTCCCTCCTCCTCCTCCCTCCTCCCTCCCCTCCTCCCTCCTCCTTCTCCTCCTCCTCCTCCTCCTCCTCCTCCTCCTCCTCCTCCGCCGCCCTCCTCCTTCTCCTCCTCCTCTATTTCCTCCTCATCCTCCTCCTCCTCCTCCTCCTCCTCCTCCTCCTCCCCCTCCTTCTCCTCCTCCTCCTCCTCCTGCTCCTGCTAGGAGGCCAGGTCCATACGGAGGTCCTCCTCCTCGGCCTCCTCCTGCTCCTCCTTGTCTCCGTCTGAGCTTCCTCCGCCTGGACTCGGCCTCTCCCGAGACCCGGCAGGTGTGGCTGGACGCCGCGGCGCGGGCCAGGTGCGTCAAGCGCTTTGGGGCCGACATGCTGGCCGCGCGGGCCCCGCCGCAGGAGGCCCACCCCTCGTCCGCGGAGGAGGGTCGGCCCCGAGCGGAGCCAGCTTCAAAAACAACAGCGAGCCCGCGCGCGAGCCGGGGCCCGGGCCAGTTCCCCAGTGGGTCAGCGGGTGTTTCGCGGTTCGGTCGGCTCGGCCGCGTTGCAGTCGTCGGCCACGCGCAGAGGGGGGTATAAGGGGAGGGGGGAATCTGCTTTTTAGAAACACCCCTGCTTCTCAGAAGGCGTGGGCCTTGCATCTGTAGATGTAAGGCCGGCGCCTTCTAAGAAGCAGCCTCCTCCTGAGAAGCCTTCCCCCTCCCCCACGTAAGGCTGGCGCCTTTAAGAAGCAGCCTCCTCCTAAGACGCCTTCCCCGCTGCCCTACCTCCCTCTGCGCGCCGCCAAGTTCGGTTGCCAAAGGTGCCCCTAACCCGAGGTGCTTGGTTGAATTCTGGAGCCCCTGGGCCCTCTGGGCCTCGTGAGGGGTGCTCTGGAGGCCGTGGGGGCCTCCTTGGAAATCCTGGGGGCACCCTGGGCCAGGGGCACTTCTAGCAACACACAAGCGGTTTGGTCGGCTCGGCTGCGCTGCACTCAGTTGCGGTCGGTTCGGTGCGATTCGGTCGGTTTCGGTGGCAAAGTCATGGGAGCCTCGTAGGTCCCCGCAGTTCCGTTTTTACAGAGTGCATTTGCGTGCGCTAGCGTGTGGGGATCTAAGCGCCGATTTAGCGTCGATTGGCGTCGATTTGGCGTCAGCTAGCGTCGATTGGCGTCGACTAGCGTCGATCAGCGTCGGCCAGCGTCGGTTCGTAAGACCCAGCAAGATGGTATGGGAGGCTCCCATGAGTTGCCACGGGAGGTCGGTTATCGCGTCGATGCCGCGTCGCTGCGCCCCTCTTGGGCTGCCTGCGACCTGTCGGATCTGGCTCCCTTGGACTTGGCATCGCTCAGACGCGTGCATCTCTTCTCGGCGAGGACCCTCGAGGAGCCTCTTGCATCATCCAGCGGAAAAAAACACATACGACATCGACCAAGTGCATGCGGAATGGACGTACGAGCAATGGCGAGTGGCGAGGAAGCATCGGCATGAACACAGTCTTTTGGGGCTCTGTGCGGGCTGCGTGGACCGGCGCGGGGCTCCCTCCCCGGCGCGCCAGGGGCGCGCAGGGGCGCGCCAGAGGCGCCCGTGGGCCAGGAGACGTCTCGAGAGAGGAACTGGAAGAATGACGAGGAGGAGGAGGAGGACGAGGAGGAGGAGGAGGAGGAGGAGGAGTAGGAGGCGGAGGAGGATGAGGAGGAGGGGGAGGATGAGGAGGAGGGGGAGCGGAAGGAGGACGAGGAGGAGGGGGAGGAGGTGGAGGCGAGGAGGACAGGAGGAGAGAGGAAAGGAGGAGGAGGACAAGGAGGAGGAGGACAGAGGCGCCCGGGGGCCAGGAGACGTCTCGAGAGAGGAACTGGAATAATGACGAGGAGGAGGATGAGGAGGAGGAGGAGGAGGAGGCGGAGGGAGGAAGGAGGAAGGAGGAAGGAGGAAGGAGGAAGGAGGAAGGAGGAAGGAGGAAGGAGGAAGGAGGAAGGAGGAAGGAGGAAGGAGGAAGGAGGAAGGAGGAAGGAGGAGGAGGAGGAGGAGGATGAGGAGGGGGAGGCGAAGGAGGACGAGGAGGAGGAGGACATCGTTTTGGTTCCGTGTCAGACTTCGGCGCGAGGAGCGCCGCCTCAGCAAACCCCCGCCGCCGTCGACGCCGGTGACGCCCACGCAGCCGGCGCACCCGACGCCCCGGGGCACGCCCGCGGGCACGAGGCGCGCAGGGCCAGGGGGCAGCGTCTCGCCATGAAGCAAGCCCAGGGTCGAAGTTCGAGGGTCGAGTTCGGGGCTCGAAGCTAGAAGGGCGAAGTTCGAGTTCGAGGGTCGAAGGTCGACGATGTCGAGTTCGAGGGTCTAAGTTCGAGGATCGAGCTTCTCTGATTTTGTGGGGGGCCCCCGGGAGGCTCTTCGTGGCCAGGGCTGGATCCGCCTTGAAATTGTCGTCGTCGTCGTCGTCGTCGTCGTCGTCGTCGTCGTCGTCGTCGTCGTCGTCGTCGTCGTCGTCGGCGTCGGCGTCGGCGTCGGCGTCGGCGTCGTCGTCGTCGTCGTCGTCGTCGTCGTCGTCCTCGTCCTCGTCATCGCCCTCGTCCTCGCCCTCGTCGTTCTCCGCCACGGCTTGATCCACGGATTCTGGGCAGAACGCACGCCATGAGAGGTCTGGGAATCGGTTTGCGACCCCCGACTCCGAACCTCCGACGATCTGACTTTTTCAATCCCGGTGTGTTTCCTCGATTTCGGCCTCGGGTTTCGGCTTTCGATTTTCAAGCCGCGGACCGAAACATCTGAGCATCGGATCGATGGGAACGGGTCCCGAGGGAGACGGGTCTGAAGCCTTGGTCGCAGGTTTTGGGCTCCGAAGGCCCGCCGCGGTCCCCGGGCCCGTCAGGAAACGGCTCGGGGCGAGGATTTGGTTTTGGCGGGGGCAGGCAATGCCGTACCGATGCTGTTGCCTTATTCCTCTTGAAGCTATTACGTTTCAGAATGCGCCGCGGGAGAGGCCAAGGCGGGAATCAGCGCCTTTCCCCCAGCAGCGTGAAAAATGGGTGCGTTCCAGGCTGGGCACAGCAGTTGGGCACCGTCTTTTGTCGGAGACTGTCGCAAAGGGGTCCGTTGCACACTGTCGGCCTCGCGCGGGCCGCGCCGCCCGAGCACCTCGAGGACAGAAGGGGCAGGACGGGGCACGACGGGCGCCTGTTCCCCTTCCGTGCAAGGCGGGCACCTTTGTTGCAGCTCGCACTTTCGGGGAAGCGCGCCATCACCTTCTCCTCCTCCCTCTCCTCCTCCTCCCTCTCCCTCCCCCTCCCCCTCTCCCTCCCCTCCTCCCCCTCGCCTCCTCCTCCTCCCCTTCCCCATCTCCTCCTCCTCCTCCTCCTCCTCCTCGTCCTCCTCCTCCTCCTCCTCCTCTCCTCCTCTCCTCCTCTCCTCCTTCCTCCTCCTCCCCCTCCTCCACCTGGGTGGGGTTGCAGGGCGAGGGGATCCGCGGGATGCGGGCTCGCAGGGGGCCCCGCGAGTGCGCCCGAATGTGGCGCACGGTGGGTTCGTGTCGTGTCGTCGCAGCGGCGACGCCGCCGCGCGCGGTCGAGGCTCAACGCCGCCGGTGGCCCAGAATCGGCCAGCCTGGAACGATCTTGCGGTTTGGAGCCGCGCGATCGTGCAAGGTTGAGCGATCTCTACGGTGTCAAGGACCAGGTGGTGGTGGTGGTGGTGCGTTTCCTTTCGTTCGGGGTGATCCACGAGGGAGCACCCCCGTATCCGTGGCGACTCGAAGCAATCGCACCGTAGATCTTCAAGACAGTTTTTGTCGTCCTTGTGTGGTCTTGCCAGGTCCCGGGACGTCCACAAACGGCTTAGGAGGATGATGTCGAGGGCTCCAGGGGCCAGCGAATCGGGAAAAAGATGCAGTGGTCGGCGGTCTGGCTTTGGCGATTCGAGGGGGAGGAGCCAGCACGAGTCATCCCGCCTCCTCCCTGTCCCTTTTCCATTCTCCACCCTTACTGCTCTTTCCTTCATGCTGCCTCCAGTCTCCCCGCCTCTCCATTGTCCTGCCTGGTTTCCTCCTTCGTCTCCTCCCGTGTCCTTCCTCCTCCGTCCTCCCTGGTTCCTGGTTCCACGCCCTTTCTCCCTTCTGCAGGCTGCCTCCTCCCTCCTTCCTCTTTCCCTCGTGCTTCTTCCTTGGTTCCTTCTCCCTCGTCCCTCGTCCGTCGTCCTTCGCTCCTCGTCACGGTCCCTCGTCCGTCGTCCCTCCTCCTTCATGCCTCCTCCGTCCATCTCCTCTCTCCCCCTCCTCCCTCCCTCCCACCCACGCTTGCTCGGCACACCTCCCCGTGCTGCCTGGGCGGAGCGGATTTCGAGCTGTGGCCCGGGCCACCCCCCAGGGGGCGCGAAGGGAGAGCCGCGCGTCGCGCGCCGCGGTCGGGGTCGCCGAGCTGGCCCTCTCCGGGGGACGGCGTGAGGGCGCGTCGCGCACCGCGGGGCGCGATGCGCGAAGTTGACCTGGGCGACGCATCCCCTTAGCCACTCCCAGCCGTGAGGCTGCGTGCAGACCTGGAGTTACGAAGCAGCTCCCGCGTGGTTACACCCGGCATCGGCGCTGGCAGATCCGCGGTCTAAGACCGGCCTGCTCTGGCACAGTCTGGCTGAGCGGCCCCCCAGCAGTGCTTGATGCTCCTTAATTCGGCTTCCCTGCGAAGATCTCCCAGGAGTTGGCACGGGCCGCCAGGCCACGAGGGCGCCAAGCGATCCGCGGCTCGCGCTTCGCGATCCGTGATGCCTCATCCTCATACCCCTTGTCCTCCTCTCTCCTCCTCCAAGGCCTCCTCTCTCCTCCTCTCTCCTCCTCCTCCTCCTCCTCCTCCTCCTCTTCCTCCTCCTCCTCCTCCTCTCCTCCTCCTCCGCCTCCTCCTCCTCCTTCTTCTTTTCCTCTTTCCTCCTCCCCCCGGGGCGGCGGCGTGAGCGAAGGCGAAGTCACTCGCGGCGCTTCGAGCGCAGCTCAGGTGCCTTTGGAGACTTGTCTCCCTGCTGTGGCCCGTGGGTGCTGGACGGCGCGCCAGGAAGCAGGGCGCCCCGAGGCGCAGAGCAGCTCCTCCTCCTCCTCCTCCTCCTCCTCCTCCTCCTCTCCTCCTCCTCCTCCTCCTCCTCCTCCTCCTCCTCCTCCCTCCTCCTCCTCCTCCTCCTCCTCCTCCTCCTCCTCCACCTCCTCCCTCCTCCTCCTCCTCCTCCTCCTCCTCCTCCTCCTTCTCCTCCTCCCTCCTCCTCCTCCTCCTCCTCCCTCCTCCTCCTCCCTCCTCCCCCTCCTCCTCTCCTCCTCCTCCTCCTCCTCCCTCCTCCTCCTCCTCCTCCTCCTCCTCCTCCTCCTCCTCCTCCTCCTCTCCTCCTCCTCCTCCTCCTCCTCTCTCCTCCTCCTCCTCCTCCTCCTCCTCCTCCTCCTCCTCCTCCTCCTCTCTCCCTCCTCCTCTCCTCCTCTCCTCCTCCTCCTCCTCCTCCTCCTCCTCCTCCTCGGGGCTCAAGATCGGCGACTACAAAGAGTATGAATACGCTTGGGTGTGGTTTGCGATCGGCACCGTTGGGGCCTGGGTGGCACGGCACCGTCCTCGTCGGGCCTCCTCGGGGCGCGGGAGAACTCTATTGAGGTTCTCGCGCGCCACTTGGAGTGCTCCCCAGGATGTTCCCCAGGATGCCGGTTGCAAACCACACCCTTGGCAAACCACATCCTTTGGAGTCGCCGACAAGAGGCGTGGGTCAACGCAAACGGGGGTCAGTCAGAGCGCCGGATCTTGCAGGATCCTGCAGGACCCGGGTTTGGGTGCAGGATCCTGCAGGATCTTGCAGGATCCTTCGCATTGGCCCAGGTTTGGGTGCAGGATCTTGCAGGATCATGCAGGATGCGAGTGGGGGATCGACTACAGAATTGATTTACCCCTAAAATTGATTTTCCCCATCCAGTATACGACGAATGCGTCGAAATTTCGTCACTCAATTTGAGAATTCTGAGTATATGTCCGCAGATTCGCCAAGGAAACTGATTTTGGGGTAAATCAATTCTGTAGTCGACCCTCTACTCGAAGGATTTTGCAAGGCCTGACTGACCCGGGTCAGGTCAGTAGATCCCCGAGCTCTGCTCCCACGCTGGCAGCACCAATGTCAAGTCGGGCATGTCCCTCTTCAGGGGGAGTATCCCCGAATAGTCGAACAAATAGTCAGGGGACGATTTTTCGACTATTTCTGACCGTTTGTGGGTATTTTCATTTTTCCTCCAAAATCCGCCTGTAGGAGGACATGCCCGACCTAACACCAATACCGCCGCGCACCCGGGTCCATTTTCGATTCCCTCGATCTGGCTCGACGTCGGTCTCCGCCTGCCCTGTCCGAGGCGGATTTCGATATTATTTCAGGGGCAGCGTTAGGGGGGAGCTGGGCTCGGGGGAGAATGCATCGACCCCCAATCGCCCGTTCATCGCCAACAGGGGCCCGATGCCCTATCCCGCCCAGCAGCGCGCGGATTCGCTATCGGAGGTCTACCACCGATTTATCGGCGATGCATCGCCGATTCCAGCTCGATGTTCCCCCCCCCCCCCCGAGCCTGTCCCCCCCCCCCTACCGTTGCCCTTCGCCACTCCGACGATCCGATGCGGCCCGAGGCGACTCGATGCGGCCCGGACAAGGGCGCTGCCGTGCATCCTGGAGCGCGCTCGGTCCAGGGCATCGGCTCCGTGCTGGTGCGGCCCAGTCCGCGGCGCGCTCTCCAGGTCACCCGCGGGGGCGCGAAGATGACCGCGCTTCGCGCGTCGCGGTCCAGGCCGAAGCGGCTTCCCTTCTCCAGGGCAGGCGGCGCGAGGGCGCGAGGGCGCGAAGATGACCGCGCGTCGCGCAACGCGCATCGCGAGGAGGAGGAGGAGGAGGAGGAGGAGGAGGAGGAGGAGGAGGAGGAGGAGGAGGAGGAGGAGGAGCCTCTCATTGGTGCAGGCCCCGCGGCCCCGCGGCCGCCCGCGCGCCAGGCAGGGCTTCGCGACCATGTGGCCCGGCGCCTGCCGCGACGACGCGCAGACGGGCGCCTCGCCGCTGCGCCTGACGACAGGCGCCGTCGTCGCCGTCGTCGCCGCCGCGCGGGCCCCCGCGCGCCGCCCTGCGCCTCTGCGCGTCTGCGCGTGCCGTCTCCCACGGCGTGCGCGCGTGGAGGCGCTCTTCGGACGGGGCTCCTCCTCCTCCTCCTTCTCCTCCTCCTGTCCATTCCTTTCCTTATAAATAACTTCTCCCTGTGGCACCCCGAGGCCAGTTTTTAGGGCGGGCTGGGCGTTTCGCCTTTCACCATTCATGACTCTGAAGCTTAAACAATGGCAACAGTTTCAGAGATGGAGGGCGGGTGTTTTTCAAAAGTTTGGCCCTCGTCATAGCGCCGCGCACATCCGATTTTTATGATTTGCAAGAGTTTCGCGGATTGAGGGCGGGTCGTTTTCAAAACGTGGCTCTCGCACATTCGTCTTGAAATAATTGCAAGAGTTTTCGCCGGAGCGTCGCGCGCATTCGTTTTAAACATTTGCAGAAGTTTCTCGGATTGAGGGCGGGTGGTTTTCAAAATGTCGCTTTCGCTTGAGCGCCGCGCATATTTGTTTTTAAGATTTGTAAGAGTTTCGCAGATTGAGGGCGAGTCTTTTTTAAAATGTGGCTCTCGCCTTAGCGCCGAGCGCATTCGTGTTAAACATTTGCAAGAGTTTCACGAATTGAGGGCGGTTCATTTTCAAAATGTGGCTCTCGCCTGAGCGCCGTGCACATCCGTTCTAAACATTTGCAAGAGTTTCACGGATTCCCATGATCAACGTACCAGGAATGGTGTTTTGGAAGGGTTCAGGATTATGCG